GTGATGAATACCAAGCTTAGTCCAGTTTAAGGGGAAGAATGTGGTATAAAACTAGATAGTAGTAATAATAATAATAGAAGTCTTGACGGATAGCTTTTACTTAAAAGCTTGGAAGGATAGGATTGCTTGGAAGGATAGAAAAGTGAGGGAATGATAGAAAAAGTGTTTTCTCTCTCCTAGGAAGAGTAGCTTTCTCTCTCATGGGAAAGATAGTTTTTATTAATAAACAATTATATGGTACCATTATTTAAAGCTTTCATGGGTACAACTGCTTAAAGCTCTTCCTAATTTTATGTCAGAAAAGCTAGAAGCTAGTGGGACATGTCTTTGTTTGACTATTTTTATTAATAGACTAGGTAGACATGTTCTAGGCTTTAGGGGATGTTGATGATTTCTCTTAGATTTCTTTTATTATTATATTAGTCATGTTAGGCTATAAATATTTGTGGTGGTTAGCCACTTCTTGTAACCAATATAACCGTCTATTTTCCTTAAAAAAAAAAAGACTTAAGCTTTAAGCTTGTAATACTTTGTCTCGTTTATTTCTCCTACCTCTTTGCATTTTGACGGATCACACGACAAACAATAATTTACCTTTAATATTGCATACAATTATATCTTTATTTCCCAACATAAAAAGCAGTTCAAAAGCCTTTGTAGCAATGCATGTATTTGATGCACATGAACATTTCTAAACCTTACATTGTGATAGATGAAACTAGTTACCTGAAGAATTAAGCCATTTCTCAACAAAATAAATCTTACAAATACCTAGAAGTCCTTGGAAATGTAAACAAGCGTGCACACAACCATAATTCATCCTTCATGTGCAAGCTGTCGCATGTGATTTTTAGCGTCTTTAAAACCTCCACATTGCCCAACATGTATTCTACGAACCTTAAATCATAATTACAGCCCTTACATCTAGTAATTTTCAAGGGTCTAAGGTTCATAAGCATCCAAGGTGGAACTGACTGTGACTCAATCCAGCAAGATCCTTCGGGATTTTGTTTTACCACAAAACTAGATAGATAACTAAAGGTTATGCATGGAAAAATTACTAAGCATGGAATAAGACATGTCAAATCTTAATTAGAAAGTGTTGGGTTTAATTCTGACTTTAGTCAAAAGTGAGTAAATGGGTCATGGGTTTCGTTATTTTCAGAATATCAATTAGATTTATTGTGGTCAATTATTTGTTTTGCTTTTACCGACTCCTTAGGAAATATAGAGTGTTGATGACTTAGTCTTGATTAGTTGGTTAAATGTTAGTCTATTTAAGATACATTTTGGATGTTGAATAAAGTAATCTGCAATCTTTCTTCTTTCATCTATCCATCTTTTTCTTTCTTTCTCTGAAACATCGCATACCATATTTGAAGTTTTATTTTCTTGTTCAAAAGAAAAAGCTTTATCCTCTACGGAAAAAAGTATAATTACCTCTTGAAAACTTAAATGCTACAACTCAGAAGAGCTATCTAGATGTTGAAAGACTAGCAACCATGAGGAACAAAAAGAACCCTTCAATTCCAAGTACTTCAAATTGGGAAATTTGGGCATATGTGACTTCAATATGACCTTCAATATCAACAAAAGGAGAAACTAGTGATTAATGACTGAAAACAAGACTCATTCTAAGAGCAAAGCACTACTAACAAATAGTAATTTAAAGGGAAAATGACTTGAAAATGTAACGAAGTTCCCAAAATGTACAAAAAAAAACCATTGTTTTTTTAATACACAAAATATCAGTAAACCGGCTATTGTAAGTAACCATCAGGTTACTCGGTTTCCAATATGTTCAAAAAAAATATCATTGTTGTTTTTTAGTATAAAAATATCATTAAAGTATACTATTTGTACACAGAATACCAACAAAGTACACATATCTTCAAATAAAACCTTTTGGTAACCAGTTACTTCATGTAAATGAAAAAATGACTTAAAAGCGTAACGAAGTTTCCAAAATGTTCAAAAAATACCGCACTTTTTGGTAACTTCATTGTTGTTGGATTATATACAACACAATCACCGGAGATCATGCACCGTCATATTAGTTCACAACATTTGTGCAATCTCTTTCATTCCATCACTCTATCGTTTTTTTGGTAACATGAGAAGGTAAGTGGGTAATAACCTTATTTAAACGTTCTTGCTTCCTGATCGTATTATATGCCTCAAACCTAAAACATATATACGTTATGTAGATATACATATTATATATCAAGGTTAGTCGTTCATTAGTGTTGTGGCACAAGAGAGACACAAAGGAGAAACGAGTATGACGTTATGTCATGAGGATTCCTAAATGTGGATGTAGAAGTATGAGTTGCGTTTAATTCTTCGGGACCAATGAGAGATGAATGGTCGGGAACACTCAGTGTCATGTGGCTGATTTGATGATGATTTGTAGTCAAAGTAGAGAGAGAGAAGCATATGTGTTGGAGCGCTTGAACGACTTGCATCATAATTGATGGATTCTTAGTTATGTGTTTTTCTATTATTATATTTAGATACAAACTAATTGAGTGAGGGAATAAAATAGAGTACACAACGGGTGTCAACTAGTACGACGGTGAATGATCTCCGATGACCGTGTTCTACATAATTTGGAAACAACGAAGTTAACAAAAAGTGCTCTGAAAAAACAGCAATGATATTTTTTTGAACATTTTGGAAACTTCAATGATATTTTTTGTACTAAAATGTGTACTTCGTTGATATTCTGTGTACAAATTGTATACTTTAATGATATTTTCTGTACTAAAAGAACAATGATATTTTTTTAACATTTTGGAAACTCCGTTACCTTTTTAAGTCATTTTTCCATTTGCCTGAGGTAACCGGTTACCACAATGTTTTATTTGAACAAATGTGTATTTCGTTGGTATTCTGTGTAATATATATATATATATATATATATATATATATATATATATATATATATTTTAATAGTATTTTGTGTACTAAAAAAAACAATGGTCTTTTTTTACACATTTTGGGAACTTCGTTACCTTTTTAAGTCATTTTCCCTAATTTAAAAGTTGAACATGACATGTTCTTAATTAAAAGGCATTGTAAGGACAAACTAATACACTGAAGTTTTTTAAAGATGTCTAACATCAAGAGATGATATGGACCATGAAAGTGATTTAGCTCCACTTATTCCTTTTAGAAGATCAACAACATTCAGATGATTAAATCTTACTTCACCATGATAAAAACCAACAGTTGCCTCAACCAAAGATGACAAATCTTCTATCACAAAAAGTGAGCAGAAAACCCCACTAACACCAAGGTATTCAAGATTAAGGACATTCAAAACAACTTTGTAGATAGATCCGTAGCCACTTGTTGTTAGTTTTAGTCTCTTCAAAGTAGGGATGTTGAAGTTGCAGTCTTCTTCTTCATCATTTTGAACATTTATTACCAGAGATAAACTTTCAAGCATTGGGCAACATTTATTACCAGAGATAAACTTTCAAGCATTGGGCAACATTGATGAGTCTGAATGCGTTGACAAAAGTTTTACCATCAAGAATGATGTCAAGGGTTTTCAGACGAGGAAGTATGACTACAGTTGGAAAAATAAATCTTGCCAAACATTATCAAACCCAACTAAGCTTAATTTTGTGAGTGTTTTGCAAGTGATAAGGTTCAGAGGCAGCTCAACTTCGAGACGTTTGATTTTGACATGATTGACTCCGACCGGTTTTTCATTAGCACCGCACATCCATAAAACCGTAACTGGAATAGTTTGACTTGGGATGTTTTGCAAAGCTTTATTACTCGATCAATAAAATTTGACAAACAATCTAAACCATAGACAAGGTGATAACTGATAATTATCAAACTCAAGGTTTGTGACCAACGTCCAATTATACTTCCATCTTTTGGATAAAATGCTAGTTCGCACAGCGAGTTTCGTAGGCATTAAAGCTAGTATATGTGAACGAAACTCTTCTGACAAATTGCTGAGCCTATCTTCAATCTTTCTTTTAGAACTCATTTTCAGACCTCTTCACTTCCTAATGAATCAATACAAATTTAATATCAAGTTTAATACGCATTTCACGGCAAATCCAACAATTCAAATGGTTGTATTTGATACTATATACAACAAATATCTCAAACACTTTTTGGGTTCTGTAACAAAGGATGGTGTTTTGAATGTGTAAAGAAACAACAAAGACTTATTTTATAATAATAAAAACATTAAGGACTAAATAAGTACAAACTGAAAACTATATTACCATATTAAGTTATTTTTTCTGGTTTATTCTGAAGTAGTAGCCAGTTATAAGTATTGAATGTGTAAAAAACAATAAGTTCAAAGACTTATTTTGCAAAAAATAAAAATAAAATAAGGACAAAATATACACAAACTAAAAACTATATCACCCTATTAAGTCATTTTCCTTTGATTCCAATAACACTAGAACTTTAGAGCCCTCTAATGGGTGAACATTCCGGTAAAGAAAAAATGTTTCAACGTGTAACAACGAATTAGTTTGGGTATTGGGTAGGATCCAAGAGTTATTTTGGGTAGGATGGTTTTGGTAGTTGCAAGGGACGAAACTACATCTTTCCACACCTTATCGTCCACAATCAGTGTGCAACTGATAGTCGTGGATGGGTGTGTCAACAATACTTACAATGTTGTGTCCCGAAAATCATTACAATGGAAAAAATGACTTGGATGGGTGGAATACGGGTATAATACAACACTCCACGGCTCTCTAAATTAGTCACCATTCAAGGCATTGTATGGAAAGGATCCTCCAATGAATTTTAAGAACACAGAAGGGAACTATACAGCAAAATATGTTGAAGACTAACTTTTGACTGGACACGATATGTTGGATGAATTACACATGCATTTAGTTTGAGCACAACCAAAAATGAAGCTACACACCGAAAAACATCCTTAAGGATGATATTTTTAACATTGGAGAAACGTATCTACAGATATCTTTACAATCAAAGACAAATAAGAAGTTGTGAGCAAGATTGCATAGACCCTTTGAATATCTTGAACAAATTGGGAAGGTTATGTCTCATATTACATAATGTTTTTCATATCTCACAACTGCAAAGAACCATTGTACCATGTACTTCGTCCAACATATATATTACCACCATAGTTGACAGATCAACTAGAATTATTACAGTGTCTGACACACAAATACAGGGCAACTGGAAGTATTGACTAAATGGCAAGATTTGCCTTGATCAATTCCCAGAATTTCACCTTGAGTACAAGGTGAATCTTCTGGGGGTGTCTCTTACTATTTACATATGCTAGAAGAAGATAGTCAATTTCCATATGTTGCTTTCCATAGCTTTCTTTTCCCTCCTAACATTGTGTATGATTCGCCTCGAAATCCAACGCACATGTAAAATCTACAACATGTAACCAATGCCAATATATTGTCAAGATGATCAATAACTTCTTATGTGTTTAATGTCAATAAAGTTTGTTATTTGTAACCTGTTAAACTTAACCTAAACCTACTTTCTCAAGAAATTCAAGAACTTCTTATGATATGCGACTCCGGATAGATTGCTAATGACATACAGAAGTAATAGACAAGGAAGATGATAAAAATATATACATTTACTGTGATTATAAAACAATATAGAATTGTGTGCAAACAGCAACTGTTGTGGTATCAAAACAAACTATATACAAGATGATGATTCGCTATACCTAAAGGAAAAACTTAGATCTCTGAACACTCACTTCTGTTTGCCATTCAATTGGACATAAAATTAAGCTGTCTGGCTAAATGTAGAAGAATCTGTTGAGGTAGGTATGATGAATTGATTGACACTATTTACCCCTTGTGGAAATTGGGATTTTTCGGATTGCTGAGAGTGGTTGGAATTCCGATTCTGGAAAAACCTATTGGGATTCCCATGACTGGAATTTAATTGATGAACCTTTTGGAGTACGTCTTGAACTGGAGGAGGAGGTCCAGGTAGTTTTGCATGTCTATATCGACAATCAGGACCATTGGGACAAAACCCTAATTTATACCTGCGTTTTTCAATTTACTTGTCACTAAAAACAGGAAGTATGGAATTGAGGGGAAAAAAGACGAATTGAAGATAAAGAAAGAAAAATTACATGTTACACTCTTTGATATCTTCGGTGGTGTGTTTATAAACGCAGTCCTGTTGTCGGCACTCTCCGTACAACCGGAAGAATCGACATATCGGCATTCTTGATTTGTCATATTGATGGAGGAATCCGCAGGCCTCGCCTTTCATACAAAGACCGCGGAGCCAGTGGCGACATACGGTCTGACGGTAGCTCCTCCGTCCCGGAAAATTTGAAGCTGGGTTGTCGCCGGAGGCTGAGTTCACGTTCACTGCAGAAGCGGATGATACGTTATTATCATTATTACTATTACGATCAGCGGATTGGTGGATTACAGCTAAAGATGCGGCAGGTTCTTCGAAATCAAAGCTTAGACCTCCCTCTGTTTCCTCCATGATTTAATCGAACTACAAAACCCTACCGATGATGATTACCAATCGGAAGAGGTGATTGAAATTGAGAATTGGGTAGGAAGAAGGGTTTGTGTTAAATCTTGAAGATGGTGCAAATCGGAAGACCCGATGAACCTTCGCGACACCGGGGAAGATGATTCAACGGTATTCTTGATCTGTGTGCAAAAACGTACAAATGAGCCTCAAAAGTCAAATCTCTACCTTTTTCTTTTTCTATTTTGGACAAGGTTTTAAAACAAAGAAGTAAACTACATTTTTCATCCTTTAAGTATAGCTTATTTTTATGATTTTGGTATTTTTTTTTCTTTTACAATTTTGGCCTTTTCATTCAGTTTTACGTAACGTTTTTGGTCTATATGTCAAAAACAATGATTATATTTTTTACATATCCATGATCAAAAATGTTATGAAAATCTCAAATAAAGACCAAAATTACAAGAAAAAACATTTTAAGACCGAAATATACATGAGTCTTAAATTTTTTTACTCCAAAACTAAATATGCATGTTACTCTTAATTTTTTTTGAAATGGGGCTTCTTTTGAAAAGGGAAAATTTTATGGAATGGTGTTCAATTCAATTATTTTGTATATTTCTGTTTGGTTTGCAATTCTAACGAAGAATTCAGACTCCAAACAATGACAAATGACAAAATTACCCTTTATGATAACTAGAACCGCTCCTTGACTTGTTTCTCTAAGTTCCCTAACATGTCAACAATACTCATTCTTAGCGGATGAGAAGTATCTCCCGCTATAAACACATTTTTCCTCCCATCAACTTCAATCCAACTACAACCCGCGGGTTTTTTCAAATCCTTTCTCTTCATCAACTTCCTTATTTCCAAAACTTCATCCCATTTATCTTTAGCAGCATAAATATTCGACATCACAACATAATTCCCCATATTATTATCCTCAATTCCCAAAAGATGATCCGATACAACACATCCCATTTCCACATCATCATGATTCTTACACGCGCCCAACAACGCCCCCCACACGTTCGCATTTGGTTCAACCGCCATATTTTTAATAAAATTATATGCGTCATTAATCCGACCATTTCTTGCAAGAAGATCCACCACACAAACATATTGCTCCATTGTTGGTTGTAATCCATGTACATGATCTATAGAGTCAAAGATTTTCAAACCTTGGTCAACTAACCCCACGTGACTACAACCAGAAAGAACAGAAGTTATCACTACATGATCCGGTTTTCCACCATTTTCAAGCATTTGAAAGTAAACCCTAAGAGCTTCTTCCCCCATTCCATGCATCGAATACCCTCCAACCATAGATGTAAACATAACCAAATCTTTATAAACACTTGTCTCAAAAATCTTACATGCATAATTTATGCTTCCACATTTTGAATACGAATCCAACAAAGCTCCCTTAAGTTGAACATCTTGAAAACAAGCTCTAACCACATACCCATGACACTGTCTCACCATATCCATCGATGTTATTTGATTAACAACAGGAAGTATGCTCATTATGGTCATGGAATCCGGTTTTATATCATGATTCTGTAATTCATGAAGCAAATTTACAGCTTCATCAGTGTAACTATGTTCAGCATACACTCGAATCATCAAATTCCAAGTGGTTAAATCTCTTTCGGTCATGTTCTTGAATATAATACTCGCATCCTCATGGGACCCACTATTGACATAACCAGATAACAGAGAATTGGAAGTGATGATGTTTCTTGTTGATAAGTTTTTGAATACTTTTAAAGCGTATTCCATGTTTTCACTTTTAGAATATGCATCGATCAATGCGTTTCCAAGTGTAGGTTCTTTACTGTTGAGTAATAAATGAGATCTAAGTGAAAAACCATGAGCTTCTTTAACCATACCCCCAAGTTGAAGTGTGGTTATGATAGTTATGGAGTCGGGTTTTACACCTTTTATGAACATGGAATGTAACTGGTCAAGAAAGTCAACAACAAGCCGACCTTCTGCAAGTGTTAGAAGAATCGAGTTCCATGATATCAAGTCTTTGGTTTGAATCAATGAGAATGTGTGAAATGCAGATACCAAATCGCCACATTTTGAGTAAAAGTTTATTAGGGAATTACTAACTGATGTCATGTTATATAGATTAAAATGACGGATTATATAGCCATGGCTTTGTTTCCCAAACTTCAAATTCTGTAAGTTTGTGCAAGTAGAGAGAAGGGTTAGGAAAGTGACTGAGTCGGGTTTTGCTAAATTCAATGAATTGAACTTTTGAAAGAATTCCAAAGCTTTTAACCACTCACCATTTGAGGTGTAACCTGCAATCATGGAATTCCAAGAAACCAAATCTTTTGAATGCATTCTTTTGAAGAGAGATTCTGCTTCCTTCATTTGTCCGATCTTTGAGTAGAAACCCAGAAGAGAATTCGCAACAGAAATGTCAAGAAAGAGATCTTCCCTTCGTATTGTGTAACAATGGATCTCTTTCCCAAAATGGTATGTAGAAACAGGGAGTATGTTGGCTATTGTAGCATAATTAGGCGATGTTCCTTCCACTATCATCTGTCTAAACATTGAAAAAGCTTCAAGAAACAATCCATTCTCCACCAACCCTGCAACCATGGCGTTCCAAGATACAACGTCTCTTTCAGATACTTCATCAAACACTTGGTATGCATCACCTGAAACACACCCCAGCTTAAAATAGAGAGAAACAAGAGCATTTCCAACAAGGGTTTGCGACTCTAGTCCTGACTTTATCACGTACGAATGAATACTCTTCCCTAAGCGCAAACCTTTTAACCGTACACAAACAGGAAGAACAATAGCAACCGTAACTGAACTCGGCTTAAAATGCTGTACCAAATTCATAGTTTTGTACAACTTCATCACCTCAATATCATGAACCCGAGTGCCCGCTAAACCAGACAGCATAATGTTCCAGGTGACAGCATCCGGATGGGTTATCTGGTTAAAAAGGATATGGCAATCGTCAAGAGCCTTACATTTTGCGTACATATTAAGCAGTGATTTGGAGACGATGACACAAGATTGTAAACCCAGTTTGATTACAGAGCTGTGAAGACATTTTCCCAATTTGATGTTGGATTTTGCAGCAAAAGATTTAATTGTGGCTGCGAAGGTTTGGTAGTTAGGTTCTGAATATGATTTATTCATGGTGAAATCTTGAAGTTCTGAACAACGATTGAACCCAGGTTTTCAATTTTAACACAATTTGACAATTTCTTTGTCAGAGATTTGTTCGAACAAGAAATCCTACATTTTTCAAGATGTCAATCAACCATCAATTGCCGTTGATTTCAAATGGAGGTCTTTGATATGTAAAGTTTGGAGTTAAAAAAAAAAAAAAAATCCAAAAAATCCTAAAATTTTAGATCAATTTATGAAAAAGTCTCGAACTAAATTTTGTTTACAGAAAAACATAGAACAGAATACCGGTTAAAACTTCGAAAAAACCCTTTTCGGGCGGTTTCGAAGATTTAGCCGATATTCTGTCATTTTTCGTTAGTTTGCTCAAAATTTTGGGACTTTTCCAAAAATGACCTGATAACCAAAATATTGAGACTTTTCTGAAAATTACCATGAAATTAATGGATAGTATTATTAACAAATCATTTATAAACACAAAAATATTTTTATTATAAAAAAGGAAATACATTTGTTGCTAATTTCTAGGAATAAAGTGGTTGTCTAAGTACTCATCTATTGCTTGCTGACCACTCAAACTCTTTACGTTCCTCCTATGCATTGTTGTGGATATGATGGTGAGATGTACTCAGTTAGTGTTCCTTTAATGTTGGTGTTCATCTTATGTTGTTTAACCTAACTACGACTCAACATCCATACCTCATATGTTAATAACCATCAGCTAACACACATCTATCAAATACCAAAAGTGATCCATGAATGATAGTTTATATGGAAACAAGGGAAGGGTGATTATCTATTTAAATTGTCATTCAAAGATTACTTTTCACTCTCGATAGATGTGTGTAATTTGATGGTTGTTACCGGGTAATGTATGGAGGTTAGGTGGTAATTAGATTAAAGAACATAATAAAATATCTATATGTTCAAGAATCGTTGTGTGATGATATTTTCTAATAACATGTGATCATATAGCGTCATGCCTAATAGCAAGTAGACACTTATTGATTGTGTATTAATAAATATTATCAAATCTTGTATTGGTCACGCCTAACAAGTTACTTCTTACTATGACACCCACAACGATACATAGGAGGAACATAAGGACTTTGAAGTGGTCAACAAACAATAGAGAAGTACATAGTCGACCATTCTATTCTTAGAAATTAGCTAAAAATGTATTTCCTTTGTTTATAATAAAAAAATTTATATGTTTATAAATGATTTATTAATAATAATATTCATTAATTCCATAGTAATTTTCAGAAAAATCCCAATATTTTGCTTATCGGGTAATTTTCAAAAAAATCCTAATATTTTGAGCAAACTAACGAAAAAGGATAGAATACCGGCTAAATCTTTGAAACCGGGCAAAAAGGGTTTTTTCGAAGTTTTAGCAAGTATTCTGTGCTTTTCTGTAAACAAAATTAGTTTGAGACTTTTTCATAAATTAGACTAAAATTATAGGACTTTTCTGGAGATTTCCCAAAAAAATGTTTCAAACATTGAACAACCCATCTTAAATTGTCTAGATTTTTTTTTCGGATAATTTTAAAAGAACTAAAATGGACAAAAACTAATTTAAGGGAAATTGAGTAATCTAATCTATAGTTGTCAAAATCGCGATCTGTAAGATTGTATGATCATAGGTATTGAAAACGAGTCGCATCATAAACGGATCGTACGTGGGGTAAGATCATAGGTAGGATCATAGGATCGAGATCTGATCCAATCCCACCTTTCCTTGATTATTTTTTCTTTTTTTGAAAATGAATTTTTTTTCACCAATTTATGTCTTTTATTCTTTATAAATTAACGTTTATTATCTTGTGTTGTGACTTATGATTAATATTTTGAAGTTTTTATAACTTTTGAACAAAAAATTAAATGTTTGAAATATTTTTCATGTTTTAAATTTATAAATTAAAATTATGTTTTATTTTGTGGGACCTTAGGATTCCGATTCCGAACTTACGATCCCGATCTTGCAAACTCAAAAATAATCATACGTAGAATCTCGATTTTGACAACCTTGATCTAACATATATAAATGAAATATGTGAAAAAAATAATTTTTTTCAAATAAT